CTTTGCTGGATGCTGCCGAATGTAAACAGTAAGGTTCATTAGATGCAGCATTCAGTTAATCTTGCCATTATGACACATGCTCATCTGGATTTGTAACAGAAGACATGTTTTAACCCAGAGAAAAGATGTACTTTTAAGGTGATAAGAGACTTTATTGTCATAACAAAATAATCCTCAATAAACCTGGGTATTTTCATGTCTCTCTTTAATATACAGAGATCCATACTCCTGGCGTGATGATGCAAATTACTGAAAGATGATATAGTAAATTCTGATGTATACATTAAAATGCAATACCTGTGACTCCAGAAGAGCCTTTAAGCTCTTTCCAGTCTCTAGCATGCATTCTAAAATACTTTATAAATCCACATTAAACTGACAAGAGATTTTACACTGATGTGGGGCTTTTTCCTTATTGGAATTATTCAAGCTACTGTGTTTTGAAAATAGGAATAGCTTGATACGTGTCAATAAACGGGACAATTTATTGTCCCTCACCTCCCAGTGCTAAACAGAGGGACCACAATGGAGGATTGACTTGAATCTTGAATCAGCATCTTTTATGCATGTCATTTTCACCTATACTTACACCTACAGCGTTGAGCTTTGTGGGGTTGGGGCTTGTACCCTTCATTGTGTCAGATAAGGTAATAATCTGAGCATTATCTAAATATAGGGGTTTGTCTTTAATCATCTCACCAGCTCAACTGTTTTATCTGAATCTCCCTCCTGAACAGATAAATCTAAATTGCACATTTTCTAAACCGCTTAGCTTAAGGGCAAATCTTGCAGGTATCCTCAAATGACTGTCTTGAATCTTTTGCACCTGTCTAGCACCATCTACTGTAACTTATTATATTGTCTTCAGTTTCTGTGGCAGCATGCTTATGATTGTTTCAAGATCCCACATAGTGTTGCTAACACTTCGTAAAAAGTGCGAAGTTTGTATTTGCTCACACAAGGGTAAAAGAAAAGCTAAATGGCAAGTGCGTTCATCTTTTAGAAAAGGCAGTATGCATTCTGTATACTGTGGGCTGCTGTAGATTTGAGGCACCTTAATCTTCTGCATTGCCCTCTTCTACAGACCTCTGGAAATCTGTAGGCTATGTACCATTGTCCGTATAAGAGTTTATTTCCCTCTTCGTCTTCAACCCAATTCACATGCTTAGTCCTCACATGGGACTTTATTACTGCAGATTTTCTGAAATGTGACATTTGAAATTTGCTGACACATGAACATTGCTGAAGACATCATAAGCCAAGAGACTTTCACGTGGGGTAGTATCAGACATAGCTTTCTGTGAGCACTGAGAAGCAGCTGGTTTTGCAGAGAGCTGTGCAGGGCACTTTGAGGTCCCAGCAGTCACCTGGCAATTGGTGCTTGCAGAGAGGAAGAGCTTTGAAGCCCCAGCAATCAACTGATTATTGGGGCTTCCAAGTGCCACATACAACACAGGGTTTTGCAAGTGTTGCCAACCAGCCGATAGGCAGTGCCTGCATCTCCCTTTTTGGCACAACCATATATTTACCTGCGCCACACCTGACATCATATATGGCATCAGGTGGAGGGCATGTGCATGTGGCTTGGCCGAAACAGCCTTATGGGCCAAATGGGGGTGCCTGGTGGGCCTAATCAGATCTGTGGGCTGGAGGTTCCCTAATATATCTACTCAGATTTAAGTTGTATTGAATTGAAAGGGGCTTGCTTCCAGGTAAATAGAGTTAGGATTGCAGCCTTATTTGGTTACTAAATCACAGATAAGTAGCTGGTTTGTCCATTAACATGCAAGCAGGAAAGCCGACCATGATCCTTCATTAGGTCATAATGCAAACTTCAAGGACCCTAATGAAGGAGTAAATATTATTTTCAAAAGGATCAAATGGGTTCATGGAAGATAGCTATTAGCCATGATCACGCTGGGAACAGACAGTGAATGAGCCGTTGCCTTCATGCTTGGGCATATGTCTGGCCATTGTTGCTTATAGAATGCTGAACTAGATGGTGCAGTCCAGCAAATGCGCTCTAATGTTCTTTTTGATTTTTACATTGCCCATTCTGCTACAGCAAAACATATGCAAGGCTGTTCACCATGCAGTGAGAGAGTGGGAGGTTGTGATTTTGAAACGTAATATTGTATATTTGGGCATGTTCATATCCTCTACTTTCTATCATCTTCTGGCTAGGTAGATTCCTCTTCTCTTGGAGAGATGCAGGATGAATTTGCTTAGATTTTATCAGGACAAGCTACTAGTTTTGATGTGATGTTTTTAATCCAGAGGCATGGTTTCAAAAAGTATAGAGGAAGAAATAAGCATTTGCACTTCCCACTATGACTGACATCTCTAGTACCAAGGATAGAGATCTCATTTGATAGGCATGCCTAAAAATGCTCTAGGAAATGAACAAGTAGCAGTGTGCATTTTCTTTTGTTTATATGAGCCAAGGAAGGATGGATGAGAAACTGATGGATGAGAAATTGATGCATATGTCCATTCTGGCTTCTCGCTGCTTCTTATTTTTCCATTTTCAAGTTCTTCACTTTTGTGCATGAGTTTGCAAATTTCCAGTCAGAATTTTAGTACAAATTTCTCCTAGCATACACATTTTGAAGCAGTTTCTTGTAATATATGCATTTTTGTGCACATTATTTACTTGGAGAACTGCATCACAAAAATTGGAGAAGTGTGAATTTTAAAGGATAGCTGTGCTTTGGTTCACATGCCATTTCAGAAAGTGTGAAATGGGTAGGTTCATACTGAGATCCAAATCAAACCAAATATCTCCTCCATAGTAACATGTTACATTCTATGCACCCTAGCCATAAATGTATTATAATATGGATGTAGAGGACTTTTTGAAGATACCATCACTTACAGAGGCCTGTTTGATGGCCATGCATGATGGTTGAATGTGCTGCTTTCAGAGCTATGGTCGGTCCAACTCCCTACTTTCTCTGCTTTTACCAAAGATGTGATGGCACATCTTTTTAATTTCGTCTTTTGCATTTTTCCTAGTATTGCTGCTTGTAATGTACTTCATGATGCTCTGTTGATTTAACAGTGTTTATAATGCTGTTGTCTTGATTGTATTTATTTGCAGTACACTACTTTGGTTGGTTTACAGAAGGGTGGCAAAACTTGTTGTTGTTGTTGTTGTTGTTGTTGTTGTTGTTGTTGTTCTATCCTCACTATTCCCTAAAATAATAATAATAATAATAATAATAATAATAATAATAATAATTTATTATTTATACCCTGCCCATCTGGCTGAGTTTCCCCAGCCACTCTGCGTGGCTTCCAATCAAGTGTTAAAAACAACACAGCATTAAATATTAAAAACCTCCCTAAACAGGGCTGCCTTCAGATGTCTTTTAAAGAGAAGATAGCTGCTTATTTCCTTCACATCTGAAGGGAGGGCGTTCCACAGGGCGGGCGCCACTGCCAAGAAGGCCCTCTGTCTGGTTCCCTGTAACCTCACTTCTCGCAATGAGGGAACCGCCAGAAGGCCCTCGGTGCTGGATCTCAGTGTCCGGGCTGAACGATGGGGGTGGAGACCATAGCTGTCAAGTGTCCCTTATTTGAAGGGACAGTCCCTTATTCCAGCGCCATGTCCCGCTGCTGTCCCTTATTGATGGATGTCCCTTAAATTTCAAAGGAAGCAGCTCCTCTCCCTCCCTCCCTGCTGGCCAGGGAGGAGGGAGGCTCCAACTGTGTTGCTTGGCTGTGTTGCTCTCCCAATAAGAAGTCTAAGAACGACTGGGGGGTGGAGCTTGCATGCCTTGTGTGTGGCTAGTTAATGCAAGCTGAGGAGGTTTTTGAATGCTGGACGCCATTTTGTTGCATGTGCTGCTGCAAACTTTGCAGTGCAAAGCCAGGCTGGGTAGCCATCTTAAGTTGAGGCTGCATAGGCCTTGTGGTGCATGTGATTCAGATTCTATTCAGTTGAAACTCTAGTTACAAAGTTGGTTGGACAGTGTTCTTGAAGCTACCAGCATGAGTTTGACCAGACTGCAGGAGGACAGGAAGACCGGAGTGCCTGGAACAGGTGAGGCTGCCGGTCCCTTATTTTGGCTGCTGGTCCCTTATTTTCAAATCTGTAAGTTGGCAGCTATGGTGGAGATGCTCCTTCAGATATACAGGACCGAGGCCGTTTAGGGCTTTAAAGGTCAGCACCAACACTTTGAATTGTGCTCGGAAACATACTGGGAGCCAAAGGTGCTGTTCAGAATCAGATCCCTCTTGAACTAGAAGAAGAAGAAGAGTTTGGATTTGATATCCCGCCTTTCACTCCCTTTAAGGAGTCTCAAAGCGGCTAACATTCTCCTTTCCCTTCCTCCCCCACAACAAACACTCTGTGAGGTGAGTGGGGCTGAGAGACTTCAAGGAAGCGTGACTGGCCCAAGGTCACCCAGCAGCTGCAAGTGGAGGAGTGGAGACGCGAACCCGGTTCCCCAGATTAGCAGACTACCGCTCTTAACCACTACACCACACTGGACAATTTATAGAACACAGCTTGCTTATTTTGGCAAACTTTGGTACTACCTAAATAGGAACACATCTTTCAGTGGCAGATTAGCCTTGCTAAGACTACTCAGCCAGTCTTACATAATAGGCTCACCTGTCTTTGCCCAGATTTGTAGAACAGGTTGGATGAGAGCCCCTTTTTCCTAAGGCACAGGCTATGCATTTTTCATTATGATCCCACAAGTAAGCCTTACGATTCTTTACTTGCCCATTCAAGCATGGTAATTAATTTGCTTTACAGTATATAGAGTATTATTAGCTCTTGTGATCACTTCTATGGTGGGCAAGTAGGTTCATCCAGCAAATAACCATGATTTTCAAAGACGGCCAAGGAAGCATCTTACTGTGGTCCCAATGGTGCTTCTGGGTGTCCCAGAAAGAACTACAGTATGCACATGCTACAACCAAATATATGCAGGTTTTCTGCTACTGCAGTGTTTTATAGCTGTCAGTGGATTTATCCTACAGTCCCAGCATTCAGTAAAAGATGTCTGGAGGAGATTGAAGACCACTCTTCCCAGGATTACCTTGCATTTGCTAGTTTAAAAATTATTGCAGCAGCATTTTTCATTTGTATGCATGGAGAGAACCTGGATTTGCTGTAAATTTGTATTTCAAAGCTGATTTCTTTGTCCAACATCATTGGCAGTTTACATTCCTTGTCCCATACCCACCCCAGACATGGGGGATGCTGAGGAAATTGAAATAAACATGGAATAAAAACATAATTTTGTTCAGGTGGGTAATAAATCAGATGGAGAAATAGTTTTGCATGGGAAATGGAAAACATATGTTGTATTCCTTGAGCTTTGTTCTTTTTAGTTTGCCGCTTATATGGTGAATCTGATGAAGGAAAACAAGAATATATATCACAAAGAAAATAATGCAACCACAGGTGCTCCTGTTCTAAACCTTACAAATGGGCAGGAAAAAGAGGGGTGTGGGTGTGACATTGAAAAATAGTGTATGAAACTTTTATAGCCATCTTAGCTGTAAAAATAGCCATCCTGAAATGGCAACTGCCTAGGGTCAAATGCACAGCCTCTTTTTGTTCCTGGAATGTATATTGAAACAATTCTTGCCTATTCTCTGATTTCTCTTTGAACTAAATCTACCTATCCTGCCAAAATCTGAATCAGTGTCACAGCAGCAGAGGCTAACTTTATTTACCCATGCCTCACCAGTCAATTTCCATTCCTTACACACACACACACACACACACACACACACACACACACAGCAGTCTTTGAAAGGCTAAACCAGATGTGACAGAGTTCAGGATCTTTTTTCCCTCAGACCTCAGTGTTTGTTTGTTTAATTTAAAGCAGTCTTGGAAGGCTGTGATTGGGGAGTTAAAGACCAGTGGAAAGAGGTTGCTTAGGCTTTCCACTGTCTGCATTTGTCTGCTAAGAGTTCCCCTCCCCAAGCAACTTAAGTAATTGTCTTGCAAGGGTCACTGCTGGCAAAAAGGATCCACCCCATTGTAAGGGAAGAACTTCTGAAAGTAAGACAGAAATGAGTAAAGCATAAATGTTGGCATGTCTACAGCCATTTCAAATGTGTCTGTGTAGAATACCAAGACAGAACACAGTCAAATGTCACAACACTTTTTAAAAGAAGGATAGATCATGGGTATAGTCACCTAGGGACCCAGGTGGAAGTGGTGGTGCCATGGACCCCTTTTTTGGCAGCCAGGTTCCAGCAGGGTCAGCTTCCTATGTGAGGGGAGGCAGACTCAGTTGGCCTTTAGGCAATGGTTTTTCCACCTGTCTTGCCCAAGGAACCTTTAGAAGGGAGTTGTTGCCTTGGGCATTATGTGTACAGTGGTACCTCGGGTTACATACGCTTCAGGTTACATACACTTCAGGTTACAGACTCCACTAACCCAGAAATAGTGCTTTCAGGTTAAGAACTTTGCTTCAGGATGAGAACAGAAATCGTGCTCTGGCGGCGCGGCAGCAGCAGGAGGCCCCATTAGCTAAAGTGGTGATTCAGGTTAAGAACAGTTTCAGGTTAAGTACGGAACTCTGGAACGAATTAAGTACTTAACCTGAGGTACCACTGTATGTGTGTTCTAATGAGCTGAACAGAGTGAAAGCTTATGAGTCATGGGGGTGTGGAGAGTGTGTGTATGGCCTTAACAGTGCTTAGTTTATTTTTTGGTTATGTTGTTAATATTGTTTTATAGATTATAAATGCTTTATTGATTTGTCAATCATATAATATGACTTTTGCTTTAACTGTGATGTTCAGCTTTCTGGGGAGTAGATTGGTAAGGTGCTGAGAAATCTTTAAAAATCACAAAACAACACTTTCAGGAAGCTTTAGGGAAAACTTTCGTTCTGGAAGTTAAAGCGTATAATCTCAGACATGGGTGTGAGGCAGCATGGTGTGACTGTCATGAAGGGACCTTGCATTTCAAAATTTGCCACCACGCTACTGGGGCAGATCAGCCTGAAAGGTGTGACAAGCCTTCTGCTGATTGGAGCAGACAGGAGACACGAAGAAGTTAACCATACAAATTTAGCAGCAGATAGGTTGTCAACAATGGGTGGTTGCTACACTCCTTCTCCTTTTCATCTAATACTAAGGAAGCCATTATGAGTTGGGTGAGGGCTAGCAAATGGAGACAATAAAGCAGACAATACAAAGGTTCTCCTGGTCAGCAGGGAGATGGACTCAGAATAGGGATCAGTTCTTTTTGAGATGGGATAATACTCCCCCCTCCTGTCCTTCAGCACTAAAGACTCTTCCACTGGTACTAAAAAAAGCAAACTTCCAGGGCATGTGGCACCCACAAGAGGACCTCGCTTGATGACCTAAAGGCTTGAACATGATGATCTTGGAAAAGGAGGTCTCACAGGGAAGCAGATCCCAGGCTGTTCAGGGCTTTACACTTCAACAGCAAAACCTTAAATTAATCAGAAAGCACATTTTAAAATGTTAATTAAGACAAGTACTTAAAAAACTGCAGATGGCAGGTGCTTTCTTAGAAAAGGCATTCCCTCTTCTCTCTCCCACAGGAGCAAATGCTTCTTTTGAGATGGTGACTGTGGTGACACATGCATGCATCATCTGAAAACAATGAAAGTCTGCCTTTTTCTTAATACCTATTGCTTTAAGTCATATGCAAATTTATATCAATTTGATTAATTAATCACTTTAAATTTATTTGATTAATTGACTAAGATTTCTTAATTGGGTGATGGCCCTGCTTGCAATGGTGTGAAATCTATCTATATATATATATATTGTAGGAAGCTTTGCACGTGAGCAGTCTTCAAATTAGTATTTTTCCAAGCCTGTGAAAATATTGTTCTTCAACGTGTGGGTAATGAAAATGCTGTGGGGAAATGGCTTTTGACAACTCACCATGGTAAAAACACAGCACCAGTTCATGCGCTTGAGGCCAGTTGCAATGCCCTGGTCAGGGTGATGACACAACAGGAACTTTTCCCTGACTTAGAGGAGGGCACGCCAGACACAGAGGAGGAATTTTGAACCATTTTAAAGAGAACGGCAGTTGTGACTGTTGGAGATGGCTGAGGGAAGAAAAAAGCATAAGAAAGAAGCTTATGGAAGCAAAAGCAGAAGAAAGAAGAGCACTGCTGCGATGGGCCAAAGGCCCATTGAGTCCAACATCCTCTTTCCCACAGTGACCACTGCCATTTAGATACAAGTGGAAAGCCCACGAGCAGGGCATGTTCCCTAGCAAGTGGTGTTTAGAAACATAGGCTGCAGAAACCAGAAGGTACATGCAGCCATCCTGACTACTTGCTGAGCTGATAGACGGGCCGTGTATTTGTCTAATTCTCTCTTAAAGCTGTCAAAGGTAGAGGCAGCAACCACATCTTGTGGCGACAAATTCCACAAATTATCCTGAAAAGTCAATGGGCAAGATAGAGAAGAAAAGGAAGGCAATGACTAAAAATGAAAGGCTGAGCAGCAGCCAGCCCAGCACAAACAACAGCCAAGGTATCCAGAGGCGGAGAGAGTATGTAGGAGAGAGACTGGGTCTAGGAACATAAGCAGATCCCTGATGGATCAAGGTCAGCATCAGAGTGGCCAATCAGAAGGCCATGGGAAGCCTATAAGCAGAACATGAGCTTTTTAAAAAAGCAGCCTTCTCCCCACTTGTGATTTGCAGCAACTGGCATTCAGAGGCATACTACCACCAACAGTGGAGGTGGAGTGTAGCCATTGTGCCTTGTAGCTATTAATAGCCTTACCCGCCATGAATATGTCTAATCCTCTTTTAAAGCTATCGCTGCTGGTGGCCATCACAAAATCATGTGGGAGCAAATTCCATTACAAAGCTACTCACAATCTTGGCTCTAGTTATATAGCATTTGTGCGTAGGGAAGATATTTGATTTTTACTGTAAACCTATCCCTGCTCTGATGTTGTTAACTCAAGAAATATTATAGACATTATTATTAGTTTGGCTTACTTTAATAATGGCCCAGAGAGGGACTGTTCATGAATGTCAAACCCTTTTTTGGTATAAGTATCCCCCCTCTCAAAGTATTTTTTTTACAATCGGCTGCTCCTAGATGGGATGAACCTCCTGCCATAGCCTAAACTGCCCTATTGACCAGGACTCCTCTTCTCAGCCCAGTCCTAAGAAAAAAGTAAGCAAAGAGAGAAGCTTTGGAAATATCCCTGTAATGCAGGGGTAGCTTTTACCAGTGTGGTGTAGTGGTTAAGAGCTGTGGACTCGTAATCTGGTGAACTGGGTTCGCTTCCCTGCTCCTCCACATGCAGCTGCTGGGTGACCTTGGGCTAGTCACACTTCTCTGAAGTCTCTCAGCCCCACTCACCTCACAGAGTGTTTGTTGTGGGGGAGGAAGGGAAAGGAGAATGTTAGCCACTTTGAGAATCCTTCGGGTAGGGATAAAGCGGGATATCAAATCCAAACTCTTCTTTACATCCATGCAGTTCTAAGAACATGGGGAAGCTTCTAGTGATAAATTGCATAAAATTACCTTCTAAAACTTAGAAAGCCAAATGCCAAAATACAAAGATTTTTATAGAGTGGGAAGGGGAAGACAAGAATTACATGCACAGATGAAGTAAGTAAATGTAATTCCGCTAGCTACATGTTACTTGCTTGAACAGATTTTTGAGTTTGGAGCGTGTGCAGAAAGTGGCCTTTATCTATTGGGTGGAGAAAAAGAAAAATCTTTAACATATTCCAAGAAAAATGTCACCTGCTGAATTTTGGCTCAGCTCTAATAAATACACAGTATGCTATTCACCACAATTATCCTCCCACCATAATATCCATTCTTGTGTGATTTATAGAGGGCTTGTCCTGACTTAAGAAGGCTATGGCTCGTGTCCAGTTTTCTCCTAGAAAGACTCATCATACTTAGGGGGTTTAAGCCCATTCATTGGCCAATAATAATGTTCAGTTGAATATTATAGGCACAGCATACTCTTGATGCTTGGAACTCCCCTGTGACCCACCAGCTAAACTGGTTTGCAGAGTTACTCACCTCAGTGAACATTTGCTCTGAACTGCTGAGATTTCCCCATGCAGCTGAATAAATATAATTGGTAAGTGCACTTCTCTAGAGTACATTGCATTCTGTTCCTCTTTTCTGACGTCTTGCTCTCTGAAGCATGGGGTGGGGCTGCACAGTGAAGGACTTTCACAAAATAAAATAAATGACAGTAATGCAAGCTACAGAGAGGCTCCAAGTGAAAGAAAGTCCGCAATGCTCTTTGAAATGAAGGGAGATTTCTGCATTTAGCTGAATGAAAGAATGTGTATGCTTTACCACTGAAAAATGTGAAATTTTGAAGTATGGTAGTCTAGGAAGCTGTGGTTTTTTTACCCATGTAGTTTTAAATAAAAAATGAGCATCCATTCTAGCAACTGGAGAAGCCCTTTGGTTCAGTACTTCCATGATGCTGAGCGGCATTAACCTAGGACCATAAAATCACTCAGGAAGGCACTGAATAAAAATGAATGCCTAGCAGAAAAGAACCAAGATTAGAAGATTCATGGGAAGGAGGCAACTGAGTTTGCACTCAGTCCTGCTGGAGTTCATAAAAGGACTAGAGTATGTATTATGTACATCAGGGTTGGTATCCTGCAGTAGCAAAACATGAGTGTGGCAACTGACTTCTACTGTGCTACTGACTTCCCTTGTGGGTTTAGCTAAGTCACTTTAAATTAATTTCCAAAATGGGCAGTCACAGAGACAAGGTTTTCCAGTGAATCATGTTTTTGTTTCAGAGTTCCTTTGGCTCTCACTGCAACTTGTATTATCACATGTTAGATCGGAAAGGATGGGGATTTACTGGGCTAAGGCAGCAGCAGAAATGAAGCAGTGGGGTGGGGTGGCTGGGGAGGAGCTCAGTATGCCCTGCGGTGTATGTGGAAAGAAGTTTTTGAGATGGAAAAACAATTATGCTGACTCTCATAACCCTCTATAGATTTGTTTAGATCTTTCTGCCATGTGTTGAAGTGTTAATGTAAGAAACTATCTCTCAGTCTGTGAAAAAGGAAGCACCTAGAGACTTGGGGTGGAGTCAGGACATGTGTTGACTGAGAAGGCCTGATACTTAAGCTGATCTAACTTTATTTGGAAAGCAGTGAAGATGGAGGTGAATACCTAGCAAAGTAGAATGCCATGGTTAAAGTCACAGGAGCCAACTCCTAGGGACCGAGCCCCCACAAAATTGATGAGCATCGTCATTCAAATGGTGTGTGTGCACCATGTCTTGTGATCAATTATGTGGGGCAGGGCTTACCTTGCCCCACCCCCAATATTTTATTCAAGTTGGCACCTCTGGTTAAAGGTCACAGGGTAAAGCACAAGCTGTAGTATGAGCTAACATTGCTTTCTTTTCCTGTCCATCTGGGCTGATACGTAGCAATGGAAGAGAGATTAAACATCTATACACATCCATTCCTAGCAGAGAAACTATAATAACTCACCCAAAGCTATGGGTCCTACTCATAATACAAGTGATAAAAATTGATTATCCATTCCTACTTGTTTCATGGGCCATGGCTGTTTTTTCACTGGGATCATAAGTTGGTTTATACAGAGGGAGCTAAAATTATTTAAGCAGCAGAGTTGAAGCAGAGTATATGCTGCCCATAATGATGATCTCAGGCAGTTGCAAGGAGTAACTTTTGATCTATGGAAGCAGTCCTGATCAAGGCTCATTTGATTTTAAAGAGAGAGTTGCAAACCTCTTCCTGTGTGCTGACACAGCTGCAGCAGGGTTTTTGTTGTGTTGTGTTGTTGTTGTTTTTGCCATCTTTCAGTGGTGATGCTGTCAGAACAGGACTTTGGGCTGGAAGTCCAGGGCCACACTTCTTTAAGCAAAAAATATGTATCAGGACCTTTCCAAAAGATGTGGAGGGATTCTTATAGGAATAGGTCTAGACTACTTACAATCTCCAAAATCAAGATCAGAACTTTAATGACACCTAGAAGCTAGTACAGTTTATATACATAGATCTAGTGTTGTAAAGTTCTAATATCTCAATTTTAGTACAAGGTGGACTGACATCTTCTGCACCAGCTGCAGCATTAGAGTAGCTGGGGCAGGGGTAGCCACTGGGGATGTGTGATTTGGAGGCAGGGAAAGGACTAAGCAGAATAACCCACTCCCTCCACTCCCCTGCTGCTTCCAAAAGCTGCTTTTCCCATTCTAAATGGGCCATGGGGAATAATGGTGTATTACTACCATGGTATGTAGGAAGTTTTAAGAAGTTGGGTTTGAATGCCTCTATCTCCTTTCTTCCTGTGTCTTGACTCTGGCATGGAAAGAACGGTGCTTACTGTGTGAGAGAAATTAGTGACTGCCGTTATTCAAGCCAGCTTAATTATCTGCACGAATTAAGAATTAAATACTGAACTATTTAGAATATAGAAATACTCCTAAATAAATATTTTTTTGCCAGTGGTGGGGATAAGCAATGAAAGGTGCCTATCCATAATTCTATGTGCATATGATATTCAAAAATACACTGCAGAGCCCTGGACAGAGTTGCCCACTCCACACACAGGTCACCCTTGTAGCTGTGTCTTCAACTTGAACTGCTAACTTGGGGCATCAGAGGCAAGTATTACCTGATTCTTGCAGATCACATCACTGTGAAAGGGACCACTACAGGGGCCAGTTGTATAATTCGTAGCCCTAGCCTTAAACATTTCAAAACAGTGCTTCTAAAATTACACTTATTTGTGTCTGGTCCTCCAATGGGTTATGCAACATCAGGCAGGATACAAAAGGGGGGAAACCCCCACCATATTGATAATAAAATTATAATGAACCAAAGAGACAGATTTTCCAGGGTTTTCAGCTTGCTGAGAGTTAGAAATGAGGTAATGGGGAGGGCAGGTAGGGACCTGGAGGATGCAATAAGAGTCAGATGCAATGGGGGGGGGGAGTGGTTGTGGGGAATAGATGCTCAGCAGGTATTTATGGGCACAGATTATCTACGTTTAGAATGAATTCAATTCATGAAGTCTGATATGTTGCCTAAAGCGAAATTATAATTATTTTCCTCCAATGAGTAGTAGGGGGAAAGAGGGTGGGGAATAGGTATGATAAATTGATGGAACCATTTTTTCCAAGTACTGAGAAGACCATAATATCAAAAGCCAATTAAGGTTTTACCCTTGGATTTCAGCCTAAGAACTTGGACCAAGCCCTTTTCAAAGCATTTCAAGTACTAAATGGTGTCCATTAATGTTTGATGGAATAATCACATTTCTGATATATATTTAAGAAGGTGAAGTGATGGGCATTACAAAGTCTAAAAGGAGCACATGATAGAAAGAGGGCTTTTTATTTTAAAAAACAACCCCATAATTAAGACTTTGTAATAATGCCATCCATGTGCCCATGAATAAGAAATCTGAATTGTGTACAAACAGAAATTCCAAAATGTAGCACAGAAACAAGAAGTGAAAAATGGCACCATTTTGCCATCTAGTGTAGAAGGTTGATACTACAAGTTAGTATTAAATGCTGTGTGCAATTAATTCCCACACAGTATCTTGAAAGCTTTAATTCCCTACTGCTACCTAGTATTCATTTTACTGATGATTTTAATGGGAAGCAGAGAGTTTCATTGTATAGCGAAAATTACAGGAAGTGCAATTTCCCCCTCCCCCCCCCGCT